GACGAATAAATCTTTCAGTGAGTAAAACTGGCTGTGTCTATAGTATTAAAGACTACACAACATTATTATATTATATTTAAATTAATTTGTAAATGATTATTATTTTAAATTAGTGTCCCTGTATAAAGTAAAGTAGCGGTGGTAGCGGACAGATTATAAGTATCAGTTCTGTTTAAAAAGATGTTATCTAATCCTGCTTACATGAAATAAGCCTGCTCTTTTGCATTTTGCTCAACCGGCAATCACGTAGCCTAGATTTATGCTTTCAGTCTGAGTGTTAATCTTATACAGTATTACAGTTAGTCGATCTAAAACAGTGATTGTGCATTAACAGCTGTCAACAATGTCGTTACGCAAATAAGCGGTCTGATTTTTTGTTGTTGTTGTTAGTTTCATGTCGACTTTTTTTTGTTGTTGCAGAAATATAGTTCAATATAAAATAAAAATAAAATACAGAACAAAGAACACAGAACATATGGGAGAATACAAAGGAGAGAGGAAAAAAAGAGAAAAAGAACAAAAAAAATCAAATTACAATTTACTTAAAACCCGTTCTATAATAAGATGTCTTCAGAGATTTTTTTATTAGAGGATACTTTTTGAAGTGATGACAATAATAAATGTAGATCAGAAGCAAATATTTTGCAGCTGGGTTTAAATTTCGGGCAGGCTATCTAGCTTTATGGATATGGTATTTAGCCTACCCATCATAAAGTTTAAGACATAATCTCCTTATTGTCAGAACAATCAGAATGGAAAATAACCTTACTGATGGAAATACTACAGAGCTGGTGGAACACAAGAAATAGGGAAGCTGATATTTGAAGCCAGAATTGTTTAGAATTAGCTATAACAGAAATATAATAAATGTGAAATATAGATTCTTCTTCCTCTTGGCAGAAAGAGCAGAGTGGAGAAATATTATGGTTAAATTGACATAGATACTTATTACAAGGGTAATAATGATGATTTTAAGATTAATTTATTTTACTTTATTATTAAACAAAAATGCATTTGGCACAGTCCATGCCTTAAAAAAAGTAATGTTTGGGTAAAGTGCTGACCATTTTGCCTTAGCTTTAATAGCAAAATTGTTGCTAGTAATGAGAAAATTTCTCAAAAAAAAAAAAAAAAAAGATTAGTACAATTAGCATCCAATATATATTGGTCTGGACATATTTACACATCGCATTAAATTTAATATTAAACGAGTGTTTCTGTTTATGTAATAAAATATTTTAATAATTATAAAAATAAATACAAAGAAACACAAATAAGCCACGTTATTATCATAATTTTAATTTTCAATTTTCATCATTTTTATTTTTATTAATAATTATGTAGGCTATGATGTATTTATGTATTTAGCCTGCCTCTGCCATTGAGCACCAAATGTTGACAGGGATGATTATAGATTGATGATCCAAAGATGAAGTATACAAGCCGTACATTTCCAAGGCTACCAGGCCTACATAACATTTTAACCATCAGGATGTGTTACACGCAAACCACCATACCTTCGGTCCTCCTTTAGCAATATATCATTGTTGTCATTTATTTAGTCTACAGCATAAATAATATGCCTGACGAACGTGTTTATATCGCTAAGAATAGTTACCATCATCATCAATTGCATGATGAAATTATAGGCTACGCTTTTTAAAAGTAAAAAAATTTAAATAAAATTGTGATTTAAATAGTTAAACAATTTAAACGTGTTAGGCTACTATAAACAAAATTAGTTTCCATATCTTACATTTTCCCCCAAAGCAGCATAATTGTGTAGCCTACATCGACTATTCTCTTTGTTTTTCCATAATTTGTCCGAAAGGTGGCAGTAAAGGCTAAATTTGAAATGACCTTCTTTTAATACAGCTCCCCCTCTATATTGAACGAATAGCTGAGTTTAAAGTATTTCAAGAGTTCTATGTGAACTTTATTCAGTTTAGTTTTTTTACTTTTCAAAACAATGGTGCCTTTATTAATATAAAATTGCATTTCCCCCCGTTTTTTTAATATGATTTATCGCTCTTTCACGTAAAAAAAGAGTTAGCACAAGATTCGACTTCACAAAGAAAACGTAAATGTCGTTTGGAAAGAGCAAAACATTGTTTTCTTATAATGATATTTCCCTCATTAATAACTGTACAATACATATTTCTTTGCTGAATGTAGCCTACATTGTAGAAAGTCATCATAAAAATTGCAAAACACAATTTTCGCCCGATTCAAACAGTGGCATTCCCCTAAAATATTATTATTATTATTATTAATTTCGTCATGTTATCCATGGACAAGTATCTATCTGTGGCGGCAGAGGTCACATTTTGAGACGCACAAACTTGCACGCACTGTACACTCTAAAAAATGCTGGGTTGTATTTAACCCAGTGCTGGGTAAAATAGGGACAA